TGCCCCAGTGACAGACGTTGTAACTTTATTTCTGAAAGTGTTTTTCATCATGCTACGACATTTTTCACTCTTGATTAAATTTTTTTTAGAAAATAGGAAAACATGCTGAAAGAAGATTATATATGTTGTGTGTATTTTTATACTACACAGAGCAGCATTACAACAAAACTTTAAAAAATATTTACTTACTTCAGGGCTTCAATCAAAGTTTCATCAAAGTTGATATTTAGCTGTACCATGTTTGTGTTTTTTAACATCTAATATTAATGAGGTGGGTCATAAAACAACCTGGATGACCAGGACATACACATACACTACGAACAATTTAACCTCCCCAATTTACCTATAGCGCATGTCTTTGGACTTGTGGGGGAAACTGAAGCACCTGGAGGAAACCCACGCCAACATGGGGAGAACATGCAAATTCAACACAGAAATGCCAACTGACCCAGCCGAGGCTCAAACCAGCGACCTCCTAGCTGTGAGGTGACATTGCTAGCCACTGCGCCACCGTGTTGCTCTTAACATGCACTGTTAGACATTTCAAAGGGTTTTTACAGTAACTTACTGGCAACACTGTTGCCAGTAAGTTACTGTATTTTAGATTTACAGTATACAACTGTAAATCCGTTTACAGCATGTTACTGTAGTGTCTGAAAATGGTTAACTACTGTAAAAACCTAAGTTAACAGTTAGCTACTGTAAACCTTTTAATTTTGTCCTAAATATTTTATAATATAATTTTATTAATATTATTTTAATACTATAGACCTAAAAAAGACACAATTACAAAATATTAACAAAATAAACACTCTTTATTTAAAACATTGGAGATGCTTAAAACAAGCTTAAAAATGTGTAAAAACATTACATTTCAATCATTCAAAATATTTTATTTTAAGAAAAAAAAACATTGAAAATGACAAAGCACATTAGCATACATGTACAAAACTAATTTAAGTGTCTGACCTGCATATTGTTGAGAAAAAAAAAACCCATTGTACTAAGTACTACTGACATTAAACCAGACACAATTACAAAATATTCCATTCTTTAAAACATTAATAATGCTTAAAGCATTTAAGGAAAATGTGTGAAAATTACATTAAGCAATAAAATCAACACATTAAAAATAAATAAATCACACAAAGCACTAGAACATACATGTACAATAAAAATTTAAACTTCTGAATTGCATATTGTTGGAAAAATAAATATTTGTAACTATTAGCCGACTCAGAAACAACCCAACTTTAAAATATTACTAGTTCTGGTGTCAAATGCTCAACAAGGTCTGAATTCACATGTTCAAATGCATTTCATCTTTATTTCTATTGCACTTTTACAATGTAGATCAATGATGTCAAAGCAGCTTAACATAGAAGTTCTTGTAAATTGAAGCTGCTTCAGTCCAGTTTTCAGAATTGAAGCAGTAAATGTCACTGCTGAAAGTCCAAACACTGAAGAGCAAATCCACCGATCCACCAATCGTAGCCAAGTGATCCAGTGGCGACAGTGGCATGGAACAAACTTCACCAACTGACGAAAGTGTAGAATAAAATCCCTTGAGAGATACCAGGCTCAGTTGGGCACGACCAGTTCTCCTCTAGCCAAACTTGTGCAAGGCCGCAGTCTAGGCACCAGAGGCTTGAAAGTTCACCAGCGGGTGGTCAGGCTGGCCCATTGGATCAATGCGGAAACTCATTGATCACGTGTGTCTTTTAGGATTCACTCCTCCATGACCACCACAGCATCTGGTCAGGATTTGGCCCAGTCCAGGATTATGAAGAACTCTGGATAAGGACAAACAGACTAACATAAGCATAGAAGAAGCTTGTTTAAAAAAAATAAATCATATACTGGTTAATTATTTTGAAGCATGGCAGCTGGGTTGGGGTAGTTTTCAGCTGGTACTGAGCAACTGGCTCCTGCTCATAACCTGCTCACTACCATGTTTAAAAGATAACTAACCAGAATGTCCTGTTTATTTTTTTCCCTAACAAGGTTTTACAAAAACATTGTAGCATTTGTGATGGGTTGATTCACTGCAGGACAGATTAGACTATTTGTTTTATGTATTCCTAATAAACTAAAACTGACTGAATACTGATAAAACTATTGAGAGTGTCTCACCTAATCCAAGTTCTCAGTTAGCTGGTGAAAGAAGGATAACTCACTGTTGTTCATGGTTGTCATTCTCTTCAGTACTTCTCCTGCTATCTTCTGGCTCACTTTGGTTGTTGCTGTGCATTTTGTTTCATCCTCTGGAATTATTTATACAAAAAATTGTATTATTTTATTTATTACAAAATATTTAGGCAACATGAAATGGGGAAAAAGACATTTAATACATAGACAAATGCATGTATCCCAATACTAATTATTGTATTTTGAAATGTCTGACCCATGACAGACCTCAATCTGCTCAAAAATATTATAAACAAAGATGAAAAAAAAACCTACTAAATGGTTTAATAAAAAAGGGAAAACGATTTTTTTATTTAGCTAGCAACTAAACATGTGACACATTTTGTATTAAAAGTAACGTTAATATATTGAGAAACAAATATATGTACAGTACTTACTGTTGTATGAGGTCCAGTTTGCACAGGCAGGCTCCCAGTATTCTATATTGAGACCATAAAAAAGCCAAAAATACAGATAAGAATACCATGCTACAATCCACAACCTCCACACAACTTTTTTTTATTTGTTTACCTTGGTTGCTTACTGGTCTTGCTTATTTTTTAAGCATAAGGCTGTGCTGATCAAGATGTTCCTCTGAAATGCTGTTTGTTTCTTCAGACAAAACCTGCTGCTGTGCCAGTGCCATATCTAAACAGAAAAAAATATATTGGTAACAATTATGTTAAACCAAATGTCAAGAGTTGTGATAAAAAAATAATTAGCAAACAATAAATAGCAAAAAGGTGGTTATTAGCATAATGCATAGAGGTAAAATTGGTTTTATATTAGCAGATTCAGACTTCCCCCTTAATAATTTAATTTCATAAAAGTATTATTTGCAAACTCTAAATAGCGAAATCATTTTAGCAGCTAATGACTATTAAAGTACAACATGCTCACGGTCAAATAAACAGTGTTAATGTTGATTTCAAGTCATACTGGCATGTTAATTCTGATCGAATATTCAAAGTAACATGGTAAACAGTATAGAGTCTTCTAAATGAACGAATGTGCGAATATAAAACCAACTTTACCTCTATGCATATTGTAACGTTATAGATTTACGTTAACGTTCTTATAGGTTACGTCGCGATGTTATTTTCTCAAGCTAACGTTATAAGTTACTCTAAACCAGAGAAAAATAAGTTTACAACATCTAATATATATAGTATAAATCAATATAAGTTAAACGTTGCACGTTAAAATGAGTTTGAGTCCAATTCAGTATAAACTTAGCTCAGTTTAGCTAACAGTTAACATTACCATTTTAAGATCGCTTCAGCCAATGTTGCCGAGCAAACAAATGCTAATAGAGGTGCTCAAATCAATGTCGAGTGTTGTCAGCACAGACAGACGCGCTTTTACCTGGATTATTTGTCTGTCTTTCATTCATATTCTTCTGGGGGAAAACACTCTCTGCCGGACCGTTGTCTCGTGCTAAGTGTCCTCCAAAACTGTCTGCATACCTCTGGTTCCCTCCTAAACCAAAACCCGCTGCAACACCGGTTCCTATGTAAATAAATAAAAAGATATGACGAGAACAATGGCTAATAGTCATAAACAGTCTTATTTAAAGTAATAGTAGTATTAATGTAATAAATTAAATAAAGGTAACATCTTAATAGATGATATATTTCTCAAATGGGCGAAATAACGCCAAGCCAGAGAAAATAATAATAGCCAACTTTATACTTTACTTTGTTCTATTCTCGTCCACAAAACATTCTGTAAAATGAAACACTGCCTCAGCTTACCAGAGTAAAGTTTGTTAAATCCAGTATCCCAGATAGCACACATGCGTCGCAGAGACGTCTGCTGGACATCCGCGGTTTCATCTGGGAGACGTCTTATTTAGGTCGTTTGCTCATCGGGAAAACGTCGTATAGACGTCCTTGTCAGACATTCAAACAACGTCTATGCGATGCATCGCAGATGTTCATTACTAGAATGTTATATCTGTGAGACATCTTATTTATGTAGCATAGACGTCGTTTTTTTATTATTTTTATTTAGACATCCCCTCATGAAAACGGCTATAAATAACAGTTGCAGTTACACTGATTATACATCCGTCTACACATAGATGATAAGCTCAAGTATTTTTCACTCAAAATGAAATGACACAACGGCTAAGGAATCATTTGTAGAATTTTATTATTCAATCATGCATTCATTCATTCAATCATTCATTTTCTTTTCGGCTTGATCCCTTTATTAATCTGGGGTCGCCACAGGTATGCAACACCAATCTATCCAGCATATGTTTTATGCGGATGCCCTTCCAGCCGCAACCCATCACTGGGAAATGTATTATATTATATTATATTATATTATATTATATTATATTATATTATATTATATAAAATTATTTTATATGATATTATTTTATATTAAATTATATTATATTATATTACAATATTTTATATTAAATTAGATTATTTTATATTACAATATTTTATATTAAATTAGATTATTTTATATTAGATTATTTTATAATTTATATTATATTGTATTATATTATATTAGAATATATTATATTATTTCATGTTATATTATATTACATTATTTTATACTATATTGTATTATATTAGAATATATTATTTAATATTATAATATATTATTTTATATTATATATTTATAATATTATTTTATATTATATTAGAATATATTATATTATTTTATATTATATATTTTATTATTTTATATTATATTAGAATATATTATATTATATAATTTTATTTTATACATTAAATTATATTATTTAATATTATATTATATTAGAATTTATTATAATTTAAATTTTTCAGAACCAAACAAAACACATTTAAAGTGATCAAGTCGCTTAAGAGTCCATTCTTTCTGGGGCCAAGCGGAGGAAGTCTTTAAAATGTTTTCTGTTTCTGCCTTGTTGAAGACGGAAGCACGGGGTTCCTCAGCTGCACCTGTTAAAGAATAAAAAAAGTTATTTTACCAACCAAAATTAATACACACCATCACAATTATTGCATTTGATTGCATAATAATAATAATAATTAAAAATCTAATAAGAAGAAGAAGAAGGAAAAAGGATATGATTGTCTAAAAATTCGTTTTTCAGCCTTCACCTCCGAGTGCTCTTAATTTTTTTCATGACCACATTTGTTTAGTGTTGTTATCGTATTATTATTATTACTATTATTATTATTTGTTATATATTTGTTGTCATATATTCTCTATGTATTTATGAATATGTTTTGTTTATTCGTTCACCTGTCGGGATTTACAGAGGTCAAGCATCGCGTGTCGCATAGGAAGCATGTGTGCTTGAATATAAATCTCATTTTTGACCATATTGCATTGATTTGCCTAATTTATTCGTTTGCTGGAAATTAGAACTGAATTTAGAAACTGCTTTGAAAATTATTTGATCGTAATAAACAAACTTAAGAACCACACAAGATTATTGCGATTTTGCGACTATGCTTGCGAATGTTCGCTGAAACGAGAAACAAATCGCTGGACGATATAACGGCAATTCTGTGTTTTAATTCTGAAATTACATTTAACTGTCTCATTTGTCCAATGATTTTGAGAAACCCCAGGGTGGTTGTAATGTAAAATGCAGTGGAGTAGCCACTACATTACAATAAGCATTTTATCTTTATAAATATCCACACAGTGTCTCTTTCTTCAAGCATTTTTCTGAACAAAGTTCACAAAGTAAAATGCCCATCAGACGCGCGATTTCAGTGCTGAAAATAGATTTAGAAAGCATGTCCTTGTTCAAACGACATAAAGGAATCAAAATGGAACTATGCTGGCACGATGGATGATTTTGTTTTTACAGGAAAATCAATTAAAAAAAATAAGCCAATCTACTGTTTTATGTTTGGTTATGCAGTTAATAATAAGACATTACTCTTGAATATTTATTTTTTAACAGTTTGTGTTTTGTCTGTTTGGTTTAGCTGAATATAAGCGGTCTTCACTTCTCAATCCTTAATTGCTATTCGTTCATCTTGTTTAATTTATAGATAACTGATACAAATTATAATAAATGAAACACCTTCTTAAAAAAACTTTTTTTTCAATAGAAATAATAAATTATAAAAAATAATTACCTATAATAAACTGACAAATTGCAAATCAAACAAAAAAAAAACAGCATTTTTTTATTTAATAGTATTTTAAATCATATACATTTTTTATCATTAAATCAAGCTGAACAATCTATGTATTTTGTTAATGATCTGTTAACACCAGTTTCAACACTATTTTAGCCTACTTTTGATTGGTTGCTGTTAATTTCCAGTGATTTTGAAATAATACTTAGATTGTAAATATTTTTAGACTTTGCTATCCGATAATGATTCACCGTTCTCATGTAATCAATATAATATTCTTCAGATGTTACTCTCAAATAAATGAAAACATTGCTTCAAAGAATTAATGTTAAATAGAGGTGCAAAAGCTTAAGTCCGCCTATTTATTATAAGATAACCACAACGTCCTCATAAAATAAATTAAAAAAAAGAACACCAACAACAGTACTTGCATTAGTATGTACTTGGACAAGTGGTCAAATTCGAGGAACCGACTCTTTTGTGTTCGAAACTTCATCATTGCGCAAGTGCGCATGGTTTCCTAAAGAGCATCACAGTGAGCACGTGGAACTTCGTCGCCGCCAGTCCCCGCAGGAAAACTGAGGTACGTAGTCTGATTCATTGTTATGGATATGTGTGGTCAGTAATATATTTATTCCGTTTTGTTTTAGTAAATTTAATAAGGTAATAACTTTATTTAAACGAACAAAGCTAGGTTTAAACATGTTGCGATGACTGACTGAGCATCAAGTGGATTAATAGTGCCTTTTCAATTACGAAGAATCTGTTCTTTAAATTTCTTAGAGATCATACGACAAATTGGATGTAAAAGAATGCATATTGTAAAAGTGCACATATACAGTAGGGCTGGGAGATTAATTAATAACCTATCCATAACCGAAATAATTCCCCACGTGGTGATTCTAACACCAATGCTTAGGTTCCACATTTTTACCTCATCAAAGCTCAAGCGATCGCAGGCATTGTGATTAATATTCAGAGGCATTACAGATCATTAAAAGCAATAGTTTGTTTTATTTTTGATTGTTGTATGACCTAATGTGTCAAGCATTACCCACGTTTCTTCAGCGTATATTAATAATCAAATCGACTGATATTTTTTTATGTTTTCCAATTAGCACATAACATGTATATAGCTCTCTTTTCGTAAAGTGAAGCGCACACATTTTTTCACATTATGATGTACTTTTTACGCTTTATTATTATTTCCTAATTTCCAAGATATACAAGTTTTTAAACTGAAAGTAAAACAAAAACTGATATGTAAAAATTAAATGAATTGAAATAAATAAATGCAATTTGATTAAGTACAAAAGATAATACTTTGAAAATAACAATGATTCAATATTTGAAAAGGAAGTGAAGTGTTAAATTAATCAAGGTTTTGATGTAATGTTTAATCGCCCAGCCCTATACAAGAATCAACAGTTCTAAAACACTCTTGTGTATTAAACATAATTTTACAATATTTGAACCGCATGTGCTAGCTCATATAAGCTTATAAAGATGTAATGACAGTTCCATCTTTAAAATGATTGCCTAAACTGTTCATTGTAAGACATTTGACGTACCTATCACAAGTGTCCCAATATTTGTGTTTTTTAGTCCTCTTTTTTTCTCCTCCACACCAGTTGAGCTGTTTGGCTACTGGAACGAACACTTTGGAGCAAATACGCCATAACTCTAAATTTTTAGAGTTTGTCCTCCTCTGATGGATAACCTCTTTATCTTAAAAATAAAAGATGATATTAAATCTTTACAGTGCATTATGGCCCAGTTTTACAGACAGGGATGAGCCTAATTCTTAATGTAAGATGTTAAAACTGCTTTTATAAAAATGCATGTGAAAAAATTCAAGAAAACAATACTGGAGTGCATCTTATAACAGAACGATGGCAATGAGATTTTGTAAGGTATGTTAGTGCAAATTAAGTGTTGTCTGTGAAACCGGCCATGTAATAGACATGATTTACTTCACAACAGCTGTAAAATCCTAAATATTCGTACCATCTTTTCCATCATTGGATTTTCGGCTAATTGCCTTTTCCAGTTGTTCAAGGTCTTCCATTGTTTCAATAGGAAAGATGTAATTCTCAATGTCCACCACCATTTGAACACTTGGCCGAAGCAAGAGACTGGACCACTGAAGTTAGATGGTTAATCTTCATGTCCAGCTCATTAAGCTTCTTCAATATTGCCCTCTGCACAGCTCAACACAGTAGGTAGGTCCCTGCAAGCAAATTTTTTTAATACTTCAGTTTATGGTTACCTCAACATTATCTAATGTTAATCTACAGTATATTCACATTAAAGTTTTTTAAAAATGTTAGAATTATAAGACTGTCATAATTATTAGTCACAATTTACACATGATATTTAATTAGCTTTTGCAATCAATTTGATTTTAAATGCAAAGATTAGTTTTAACATGTTAATTGTTAACATTGGTGTAAGTGGAGTAATTCACAGCTTCACATGTATAAAACATAATAATAATTATTCATGAGAAGTAACTGTCTATTAAAAAATACAAATGAATTACTCTTTGCTCTAGCCTGGTGGGTACTTGAGGTTTTCAGTTCAGAGGTTGTGACTTCTAAGGGATTGTACTGAAAATGTAACATTACCATGTTATTAATTACACACTAATTTGCTGTGTTTGCTCTAATGAAGGTTGTTGTACCCCAATAGCTCAATGTGTGGTCCCCAAAGCATCCTCTTGCTCGTTTCCATCAGACATGCTCACTGGAAAAGCTGGTGTTGAGAAAGGTCAAGTTGGTAAGTTGTATTTTTTTGTATGTATGTATATATACAATATATACAAAATATATAAAAATATGTATATATACAAAAAAAAAAAAAAAAATATATATATATATATATATATATATATATATATATATATATATATATATAATATATATAATTGCAATAAATGTGTTTAGGATTTTCTCTGTATAATTTAATAATTTTTTTATTTTTGTTAATTGTAATGTTTTAATCAAGCATATATAAGTATTTAGGTGACCAAACTCTTACTTTAATGGATATAATTGTTTAATAAAACTCTTTAACTCTATAAACATTTGTTTATTTAACCAAAATATATACTCTATTCACTGAAAAATAGATAACATTATTCATATTCAAAAGGGGTTTACTCGTATATGCTGAGCAATTTTTATATATATATATATGTGTGTATACACACGTGTGTGTGTGTGTAAACATATCTGTAACTATTTGTAATTTCAATAGTTGAAACTAAATATAAGAAGCAGCCCAGCCATATTTGCAATATTTCAAATTGTATATTGCATATATATATATATATATATATATATATATATATATATATATTAGGGATGTAACGGTATTGTAAATACCGTCATACCGCAATATTAATTTTTTTCGATATTACCGAAGTCGCATGACTCGGTAAAACTATAGGTCTTCTGAGAAAATTTGCTCAGGCGAATGAAGCGAACGGGAGGTAGCGAAAACTACAATTCCCATAATCCCTTGCGGTCTGTTGTCGCTACAGATCCAGTAATGCGGAAATGGAGTGTGCTGCTAGAAGCGGGGATCAAAAAGTGCTGTAAAACTCTAAGGCCCCGTCTACACTAGTGCGTTTTAGTTTTAAAACGGCGTTGTAGAATGAAAACGATCCGCGTCCACACTCGCGTTTTACCCAGCGTTTCTGAACAGCTCTCCGTCCACACCAAAACGCTGAAAACGCACATCACGTGACCACAGACACTCTCGGGCAAACGCTCCAACATTTTTACCCAGATGAGAGCTCTGCTTGTCGGACTGCTCATCAAGCATCTCCCGCTGGATCTAATCTCACTATATTTGCTAAACGTGATATTTCATTCATGTTGTTGTCTTTATCTAACGACATAGGCCAATTCCCTGACTTTGGTCATTGGAATTTATTAAGTTACTTGTTCACGGGTAACATGTTTTGGTTAAGCGCAAAGATAAGTTAATGATTAATCCAGGGACTGATCGCTTGCCTTTATTTCCTACCATGTATAAACTTATTGTATGTTATACTTTTATAATTGTCGATTATTAAAACTGATATTCAGCAAAAGAGAGGCTGCGTTTCGTATTTTCACTGAAATTGAAAGGAGGCAGTTGTTATAGGCTCCGTTTTGTTATAAATATCCACAAATGAAGATGACGCTTCTTCATCTTCATGATGATGCAGCACGGCGCCTCAACATTTCTGCTGTCTGTTAAGTTTTCTAATATTAAAAAGGAAATATGCTGTTCCTTAAATCATGTTTACATTTTATTGTTGAGAAAGTGAAACAACGTAGCCAAGGTGATGTGAATGAAGTTATAAAGTACACTGTTCCCTTTGAAGATTTACGCGTGTCCTCGGTATGTTTTCCATATCAAACTGAGAAGGGGGAGACTGCAGCCTTGATCAAACTTGCGAAGTCTTAACTTACAAGAAGAGGATGCGAGACTGAACTGTGTGTGGGCTACTTAATATTGAGGAAAAGCCCCAATCAGATAGGCGAACGTTTGCAGCCCCGCCTACGTTTTCAGATGTCTCCGTCTTTCCCCATCCACACTGAGACGGAGCAGCAGCGTATTAGAATGAAAACGGCCTCTCCAGCGTTTTCAAAAAGCTCAGTTTTCGGCGCTCGAGAAATAAGTCATATAAGTCATATCTCTCTTGTCCCAGAAACATCAGTCCCAAATGAGAGGGTTTTTTTCTGTTGCAGGGGACATTGTAAATGCCCAGAGATACCAGCTTTTACCATATTATATTTATATGATAATTTTCCTTTAAACCCATCTCTAAGTGAGTGAGTGATTAAATGTTGAATTTGATGAGTTTTCAACAATACTAAATTAAAAACTTTATTTTTTTTTAACATGGTTTAATATTTTTTTTGTTATTAAAATTGAAGTTCCTGTTTCAAAGCTTACAGATAGATGGCTAATTTGTATGTCATTGACACTTTTGGCACTTTTTTGGAGTATTTTCATAAGTTTTGTTTTTTCCTGTAAATGATTCAATAAATACCGTACCGTGACATTGATACCGAGGTATTACCGTACCGTGAAATTCTGATACCGTTACAATATATATATATATATATATATATATATATATATATATATATATATATTTTTTTTTTTTTTTTTGTAAAATCCAAATAGGAACTTGTTTGACATATATTTAATTTGCATATATCTAAATGCAACAGATTCCAATATGGGCATGATCTTTCTTGACATTAAGATGGTACTTTTTCTACTGTTATAACTAAATTGTGTTCTCTTGTTTGTTATTTAGCTTTAGTTTTACAGTCTGGTCTAACATACAGCTTTAGTTTTACAGTCTGGACATTTCTTTTACAATACAGCCAAATGAAATGCTGAAGTATTTACCTGAAGTGAGACAAACAACTTATGTGGTGCTCTGTCTCGTTTGAAATGCCTGAGCATAGAAAACGTGTCCTCTGTTGGGTTGTACAGAAAATGTTGAAGTAGTGTGAGTATGTGCACCAATTGTCCTTCTGATTTCTTATTTAAAATACTGATTGATTTATTATTATACATTTCATTTTTTTACCTTGATTTTTCAGGTTGAGGTTTATCCCAAGTGTCCTGTGGCTCCACTTCCTGGCAGAACCTCACAGGTACTTCTGGAGATAGAACTGCAATTATTTTCTTTGGAATTATGAAAAGTTAGACGACATTTTCAATTTCAAATACCTGGTTCAATGAAGATTCAGTCTTTAAAGAGGCATGCAATTTTGGACAGAATAAGCACATCATGGAACATACAGTTTGTGCATAATTATTATGCAAGTCAATATCTGGTCATATATTTATTCTATTGACAGGGAGTCATGGTTTTTGCTGGTACTAACAATAAATAGATTAAAATGTAAGAATATGAGAGATGGACTTAAATGAACTCTGATAACTTACTGCCAGATTCTAAAACATAATATATTTTAAGAGTTACAAGAGGAAGTGGTGCTGGTCCTTCTAGATCAGTTCTCAACCTATACCTACAATGGTCTCGGTCTATTTCAGCTTGTGGTTATTTTTCAGTGGGTACACTTAGACACATTGTATCCAATTGTGTCATTCATCGTATCATTCTTTGACACAAGCTGACACATTGTACTTGCTGGTAACTCTAGGGTTCCTGATGCTTTTAAACCTAACTGTTCTAATGATCAATCAGAGGAATTTTTCAAGATGGATGGAAACTTAACTTAAAATAAACACTAAAAACTTCTTTAAACCGATACAAATGGCATGGTGCATGTCCTTTTAGCTCCTAACCTATGCCTATAAATGTCTCAGTGTATTTTGCAACACTCCTGCTTGTGATTATTTTTACGTGGGTACAATTGATACATTAAGTCAAATTTTGTCGTTTTGACACAGAAGCTGACACATTGTATTTGTGTTGGCACTGGCGAGCTGGGTTTCATAATGATTTAAACCTAACTATTCACCTTAATTATTGCAATCTTATTTCAGAATAATATTTTCTTCTCAGCCATTTTTTGTGACTTCAATCTTCCTATGAGCGTTTCTCACCTCAATTAAAAAAAGAACTAGTGTTGCATTTTCTCCTAGCCATATAATATATATTTTTTGTTTTTAATTGTGGGTTAAATCTTTTTCTTTTTTTTGGGACCATAAAAATATATTTATATAATTTAAATATAATATAAATATATATTTTTAATCAATGTACACACAGCCCCTCATATTGACAGCAAAACAGATTTTAATTTTTTTTATTTTTGCAGATTTATTAAAAATTAAAAACTGAAATATCACATGGTCCTAAGTATTCAGACCATTTGCTCAGTATTTAGTAGAAGCACTCTTTTGATGTAATACAGTCATGAGTCTTTTTGGGAAAGATGCAACAAGTTTTTCACACCTGGATTTTGGGACCCTATATATATTTCTATATTTTCACCTAAAGTGGACATTTTTCTCTAGCTTCTGTGTGTATGTTCAGTAAATCCACTTTTAGGGAAAATAATATGTTATTTTCATAGACTTTAAAGTGAAATAAATTAACACAAACATAGGGTCCTGAGAAAAATGTAAATTTTAGAACAAAAATTCAGACGACACGAGATTTTTGCATCTGAACTCTTTATATATATATATATATGTACATATATATATATATATATATATATATATATATATATATATATATATATATATATATATGTATGTATGTATGTATGTATGTATGTATATATATATATATGTATGTATGTATGTATGTATGTATGTATATATATATATATACATACATACATACATACATACATACATACATACACGTGTGTGTATATACATATACAGTTGAAGTCAGAATTATTAGCCCCCCCCCTTGAATTTTTCTTCTTTTTTCTTTTGGAGAAAGTATAATTTGTTTTATTTTGGCTACAATAAAAGCAGTTATTTTTTAAACACCATTTTAAGGACAAAATTAATAGCCCTTTAAGCTAATTTTTTTCTTGAATGTCTACAGAACAAACCATTGTTATACAATAACTTGACTAATTACCCCAACCTGCCTAGTTAACCTAATTAACCTAGTTAAGCCTTTAAATGTCACTTTAAGCTGTATAGAAGTGTCTTGAAATATATCTAGTCAAATATTATTTACCGTCATCATGGCAAAAATAAAATAAATCAGTTATTAGAGATGAGTTATTAAAATTATTATGTTTAGAAATGTGTTGAAAAAATATCTCTGTTAAATAGTAATTGGGAAAAAAAATAAACAGGGGGGCGAATAATTCAGGGGCTAATAATTCTGACTTCAACTGTATATATACATATAAATACAGGGCTTGACATTAACTTTTCATCACCAAAAGCCCTGTTTGTTTGTTAATGTCAAGCCCTGTATGTGTATATACAGTTGAAGTCAGAATTATAAGCCCCCCTGAATTATTTGCCCCCGTTTATTTTTCTCCCCAGTTTCTATTTAATGGAGAGATTTTTTTCCACACATTTCTAAACATAATAGTTTTAATAACTCATCTCTGTTTACTGAGTTATTTTATCTTTGCCATGATGACAGTCCATAATATTTGACGGGATATCAAGACACTTCTATATAGCTTAAAGTGACATTTAAAGGCTTATCTAGGTTAATTTGATTAACTAGGCAGGTTAGGGTAATTAGGCAAGTTATTGTATAGTGATGGTTTGTTCTGTAGACTATCAGAAAAATATAGATTAAAGGGGCTAATAATTTTGTCCTCATAGTGGTTTTTAAAAAAATTAATAACTGCTTTTATTGTAGCTGAAATAAAACAAATAATACTTTTTTCTAGTAGAAAAAACATCAGACGTACTGTGAAAATTTCCTGAATCTGTTACAATTGAACAAAAATTCAAAGGGGGGCTAATAATTGCTAAATGCTAAATAATTGCTAATTGCTAAATATTTGCTAAATGATGTTTAACAGAACAAGGATTTTTTCACAGTATTTCATATAATATTTTTTCTTCTGATAAAAGTCATTAGTTTTTTTTGGGCTAATATATATATATATATATATATATATATATATATATATATATATATATATATATATATATATAACTTTGATTTTTTTTTTAAACACGTTTAAGGTCAATCATATTAGCAATAAGCGGTAAGCTTTTTTTTTTTTTCAATTGTCTACAAAACATACCACTGTTATTCAATGACTTACCTAATTACCCTAATTGCCTAATTAACATAGTTAAGCCTTTGAATTGCAATTTAAGCTGACCACAAGTATAATCTATCTAGTAAACATGTATTGTAATAAAATCTGAATCTCAAAGTTTTTTTTTCAGCATCATTAAAAATTCCTGTATAAGATGCTTTAAGAAAAGGAATGTATTCATATTTATTGTTAGCTAAGATTGGAATAGGTTAAATGTAAAAAATATGATCAGAATATTACATTTAATTCAATTCAATTCAGCTTTATTTGTATAGCGCTTTTACAATGTAGATTGTGTCAAAGCAGCTTCACATAAGTGGTCATAGTAGCTGGATCAGGGTAGTTCAGTTTTAGTGTTTAAGTTCAGTTCAGTTTTTACTTATAACAGTGTAGTAACTGTAGGTCTGTGATGCCTATTCAGACATCAAAAACTTGAACCAGCCTGTCCTGGTCTTTTGAGTTGTTATGAATGCTGTGAGATTACAGCTATTACAGTTTGTAGTATTCATGAAGAGCCAGTTACCTTGACACGTGGAGAAGGTCTCAAAACAGGCCTGCTGTTGCTTTTCCGCAATCTGTTGGTGGTCATGAACAAATGCTGTTAAAACTGATTTATAGATGTTATATCTCACATAAACATATTACTTTTTACTACACAGATTTTTAAAGCTTAGGTGTTGTTGCTTCTAATTAGCAAATTAAAGTTATTTGTGGCTATTCCTTAGAATGTAATCTTCAAGCTATGATTGTACATTTGATACATTTGAAACTAAATATACCTGATATTAAAATGGGATTGTGATGTGAAAACTAATGCTGAATTCAAGATTATAATTAAATATATTTATCTTTGTTACTTAAAAATACTAAATGTTGCTGTTCTTTTGCTTTTGAATTTACATTTAAAAGCAACGTGTACTTTGGCAACTTACTTGGGATTTTTTTTTTGCAGATATTTCAGATTCAGAGATATTGGAAGTGTACCAAGATTGTATTCATTTTTGGGAAATCTTGTCAAAAGATGCTGAAAGAAACAAAGTATGTAACTAAATTCATGAAAGTATTAGTCTATGGAACATCACAAATTATTGATTTTATTCTTTGTGTAATGTTTATTTACAATGTGTCTCATCCTGCTTACCCAACTCATGTGGAATTCTGGCCTGATGCTTGGTCCAACCTTTTTCTGGTTGTGGTGCCTCCATCAACCGGACACTCTTCAATATCCAGTCTATCTTTTTGTATAGAGGCTACCATGAGTGACCCTCTGAGTACTAAAACTTTGCTACAGATCCGGTACTTTCTTCATGAAGGAGCTCCACCAAGAGGTACATTTTTGTTTTTTTAAAACTGCAAGAACCTAGGCCCCCATAACGTTGAATAATTAAATTTGAGTTGTTTTTGTGCAAATACACAAACTACATTTTGTGCAAAATTATTATGCAAGTTAATATTTAGATTGTATTTTTAAGCACATTTTACCAATTCCAAACATCAATCTTAACCACTAGTATTTTTGTATTAATCATTTATAATTGTTATATAATTGTCCGTCAAGACTGGAAGTGAAAAAAGTACAATGTAAGTCACACTGTATTTCATTAGTCAGTTAGTTGAATTTAAGTTCTCTACATGTCAACTAATTTTCAGAAGATTATAAGCAGACTGTTAAGTTGGGGTTAGGGTTAGTGTAAGTTGACATGTACTTGCAAAGTTTCCTATAGCCAGTTAAATGTCTGTTGAAGGAGCAGTATCAACAGATACTGAGCAGACAGTCTACTAATACTTAAATGGACCATCAAAATAAAGAGTTACCTAATGCAAGAACTTGTGTAAAGAAATTCAAAATTGTAATGAAAAAGTAATGACTATATAAACATTTTTGAACCATTGTTTTCGGACTTATCATTTTATGTAGCATTTTTTAGCATTTGATTAGCATTGCATCCTTTTTAATAATTGTCAATTTTAATAACTTGCTAAATAATAGTACACATTTAAATAAAGCGTTTTTCACTTCTTGCCTTCGTATAAAAATATATATATTGGTTATAGTTGTGAGTGAAGTTTGGAATTTACAAAATGCTCTTGAATAAATATCATCTTGCATGATGATTATACACACTGCACTATACAGTATATATTAAAATAAAAAAAGGTAAAAAAAAAAATTGGTATAGGGAATTATTTTGTGTGTAAAAGTGGAACTGAAACAAAATAACTGCCGCAAGGGACTAGGAAAGCTTTTGCCTCAATGTTCTCAATTTTGCAGAGCTGGACTGGTCCTGAGATGACATCAACTTGGTAGATGCCAAGTGCGGAGGATGGAAGGGGATAGTCAAAAAAGAGTTCATGTTTGCTGAAGGTAGTGTAGGTCACGTAAATGTCATCATTTTCTGAAAATATGTTTTCTAGCTTTGAAACCTTTCCATTAATGTAGACAAAACGGTTTGCCTGGTTTAATTTCAGAGTGTATGACTCTGTTTGTAGTTCTTTGAACTGTGAAGCTCCAACAAATGACTCCGGTAGAGGGCCAGCAGCATGCGGTTTTCTGAGCACTGGTGCCTTGTTTTTGTCTCTTTTTTTGTTACAGGTGTGCAGTTCTGAGAACCTTCTCACGACTTGACTTAACGGACATGAAGGTTTTCGTAGAAGTTTCTTCAGCTTGTTAAGGTGATTCTCGTAAATGAACGCACTGAAATTGTCAAGGACACCATGGTGTTTTGCATCTTCTGCCAGATGGACAAGACAGTGGACGTTATAAGACAGAAATTTTGGACCGTATAGCTGTCCAAAGTGTGTCACAAACAGTCGGAGAATATCATTGGCATAGTCAATGTGATCACCAATTAGGCTGTCATTGCAAAGGATGAAGATTCCCACAAAAAGCAGCAGGAAGTTTTTGTATGCTTCAGTGGTGAGCAGGTCTTTTAGCATCACAGGGCCTGTGTACAGTAAGAATTGCCTAAACTCAGTTGCCTTCCATCGATCTATTTCTCTGACTGCTCTTGGTTTGCGTGCAAATTCTACAGGCACGTTCTTCTGGGCACTGACTAACCGTTCTGACAGCACAGATGCTTGAAATCCTGACAGCCTGCAAGTTAGAGGGCCCAGTCGAAGCCAAAGGTGTAGAAGCCGCCTCATGACACCAAGGCACACAAGGTGCATGTAGTCAAGGGGGAATCCAGAAACCATGTCCAGGGAGGTTTCCTCCAGAGGTGAGGTGCCATGGTGGTGGTCTATGTCAGTCTTATTTCTAAAGCTCTCATCATTTCTTAGAGGCATGTCAGTTCTAGGAAATGTCATCCTGTTCTCCAGGTACACACCATCCTGTATGCACTTTTCACATCCATGGTAACCTGCATGGCCTTTCACTTTTTTCAGAAATGCACGTGCAGGTGCATCACAGATCATAGAGGTAAGCTTGACTGTTAACTTCAGTCCTTCAAATTCAAATCCATTTCCTAACTCTTTGATTTCAGAGATAAAGTCTTTGAGGTATTCGTCCAGGGAGCTTGGTTTGCTGTCACCACAAAATAACCCTATTGTTACAGGCTTCTCCTGCACCAAGTTTTGTACTTTGCCAAGAATGGGCCAGAATTGAGTTGATGAACTTTTGTATAAAGGAAGACCATCAATGCTCACCTGGAGCTTCAAATCTGTTGTGTTCCTCAAAATGTCCTTGTTGTCATAGAGGACCCCTGAAATGGATTCCAGTAAACCAAAATGGTAGTACTGGCCACCAGCTTTATTTTGCATTTGTTTTTTTGAACGCACTGTTCCTAATAACGTCCTTGCATCTTTAGGAAGACTCAGATTATGATTTCGAAGGATGCTGAGTAAGGAATTTAGTGCCACGTGTGTTATTTTGTTTTCTGTTGCCCAACTTGCCAAGTCGTCGTTAAGAGAACTTGAATGCAATTCAGTATCTGCATCAGAGTCCGACTCTGAGTCAGATAGACTAATGAATGATGCACTTGCCATGATGTTGCTGCATTCAGGTGCATCGACATAAGACAAACAGTCCATGAAGTCAGTATCATCTTCAACAGTGCTGCTTGTATCTGTGCCATCATACTCATCCCTCAACGGTGATGCTGATAACATATCCATTGATTGAAGCTGTTTGTCCACCTTGGCTTTGGCTTTTCTTCGCAGTGTCCAGTAAGACTGTTTTTTGCAATCCATGGCTCTGAGATATTAACACACAAAAAAATGCATTGCCCTAACGTGCAAAGCCAACTACATACAGTGCTTTTCAAATGCAGTATTTGTAGATCCTTACATCACATACTCTGGATATAGCTTTTACATGTAATTGAACTCATTATAAAATTTAAGCTTGTTAAATTAAATGGAGATTAATAGATGATAGACAACCAGAATATGCAATGTTATGGATCCCCAAGATTGGAATTTGGAACTACTTTCTTAAAGACAAATTACACATACCTTATTATTGAGTGTGTGAGCTTTTGATGTAGTTGTCAGGAAAACTCTGTAATTAGAAAAGAGATAAATTGGTAAGGTCAGTTTCGTCGTTCTTATAATGCCTAGAAATAATATAACAAAGCTAAATAAATGTGTAATCACTTTTATGGAGTAAAATTTGTTTAAATAAGAACTAAACTCCTTAAGAATGCCTATATTCTGCTATTCTTTAAAATTAAAAGTTTTTTTTTTGTTTTTTATCTTGCCCAAAATTTAAAGTTACAGTTATGCTAGAAATTACAATTTTATTACCATTTACTCACCATTCACTTTTTTTAACCTGTATGATGTTATTTCTTAGGTTGATTACAAAAAACGATAGTTTGAAGAAAGCTGGAAAATTGTAACCATTGCCTTCGTTTGTATTTGTTTTCCTGCCATAGAAATCTATGGTTACAGGTTTTCAGCTTTTTTCAAAATAACTTTTTCTGTGTCCAACAAAAAGATGTAAACTTGAAATTTGAGAGAGAGTAAATACTGAGTTAATTTTCATTTCTTGGTGAACCCTTTACTGCAGGAGACAAATTGTTATCATAGCAAAATTTGAAGGAAGTTAAGATCAACCTATTTATTTATTTATTTATTTTTATTATTTTTTACTAAGATATGGGTTGAGTTGTGGGGTTTGAAACCAGAGGTCTAGGGAGGGTTATGTATTCTAAACTATGCAGATAAAAAAAATCTCCTAACAATTTTTACTAATGTTATTCTTAATATAAGTCATGGAATGAGTTTTTTTTTTCTTTTAAAACAGGAAGATTGTTCTATATTCAAAGATTTGTTACTGTTCGCTGATCTTGAGGAAAGTTCCCAGGAGATTTATTTGTTTAATGTTTTAGGCGAATGGCTACAGGATAATATATTTAATTTAATTTGGATTTAATTTGATATTTAAATCGTTGACACTGTTTTATATAATAGAACTTAAATGGCTCGAGAGTAGTTTATGATCATGACTTTAAAGCATATCCTTATCAACAGGTGGCAGTAATACGCCTTTCTATAAATCTGTATGCCAAACGCCAATGTTAAGAAGAAGATTAACCACTTCCACGAGCTTCACGCCACGGCTTTTTACAGGTAAAGTAATTTACTTTTTGTTTCATGGCATATTTATCCTACATAGTAAATGTGTGCGGTCCTAACGTGAGGTAATGTTAAAGCAGGGAATGCGGTATTGCGGAGAAAATTATATATTTTATAGGTAAACGCAGTGTTCGTAAAAATTGTTGAATGGGAAAATGGTAAATGCTGATCACGCTTATATTATAAGCCGTTTTCATCTGTATTTGGCGCTGATCACTAGTTTTTCCACTAACAAAAATATTTTAATATGTTGAAATGACTTGTCAAAACTAACATTTATAAGCTTGCTTTTGAAAGTTGTGCAAACTTTGCAGGACCCTACTCCTTCGAGCGAGTCTGTAATCATGGCATGTTTATAAAGACCGTAGTTTCGTCCTTAAGCATTCAACAGCGTTCACGCGTTACTTTTCTCATCGCTGTTGGACCAAACAAATCAGTATTTTCCCGCTCCGGCCTGCAGTTGGGCCACGTCATTTCGATTATTTACCATGGTTTACTATAGATAAACAAGTAAATACATATTTAATAAAAATGGTTGATGTAGTTATGCCATCGTAATCATAGTTTTTCTGTTTTTAATAGATACGCATTTTAAGCTTTTCAGGTAACGTTAAGTACTTTTTAATAAATGCGCTAATAATCATGGTTTTACGGTACAAAAAAATCCTTGAATGGATGGCACATAAGTAATCTTGTGTCGGAAGGCTGACATTTAACGTTAATAAAACTAATACTTACCAACAACCGACAAATGAACCTTAGCTTTACCGAATAAACAATGGAAAAAAACGTAAATATGTAAACAAACGAATAACCACGAATGAACAAGATCGAACAGGATTGTATGTACAAATTAATGTATTTACAGAATATTCTTAAGCTAAAAAGCCAACTATTGTAAAAAATAAATAAATAAATAAATAAATAAATAAATAAACGTTGAGGATGCTCTCTGTCATCTGTTTGCTAACTGCCGTTGGTGATGTGACGTAATCGCCTCACTACGTGTCACCCTCACCCAGACTTGAGCAGGGTAACATAAATGTCCTGTATAATATAAATGTCTAAATTGTTAGAAATTAATTAATTTGTTAAATATATGTATTTTTATTTAATCCTATTGTTAATATTATTATTAGTGGTTCAAGTGTGAAGCGCTGAAACCCTAATGTTTTTGTTGTTTTGTATTATTCCTGTTTTCAACATTATTATTATTATTATTATTATTATGGCCTAGTTTTTCACTAATGAATAATCTGTCCATAAAACAACTACATGCCATACACCACATTCTCTACGTATTTCTTTACTACTGTTAACTCTTCAGCTGTTCTGTCACATTTTTGGTAGTGTGAAAAGTCATCACTCACTGTACATAATATTAGAATGTCATTATTGCAATGACCCTTGAAACGTGCTACAGTGAGTACAAAACTATTACATTTACCAAATAAATGTTCAGGTTTTTTTCTCGTAATGTTAAGTGGACATTCTTCAAAAGCAGTATTAATTATTTATTTGTGTGTAATATAAAAGGTTATTGTTTTATGTGATTTGTTTATCTTTAATATCCAAATAATTTGAATAATTTTAGGGGTGCAAATTTCCGATATCAGGAAAAATATTATTTGTTGATTGTATTATTATTTTTTTCAGGTGTTTTTGATTAAGTTTCTTAAGTATGTTTTCCCTATCATTGGTAATGTTGTGAATGCATAAAAAGTACTAAATTCCTACATTTAATTCATGGAAACATTAATTAATGAACGGTCATGTACTAGAGAGTTGATTTTAATTTTTTGAATTAGCGTATATTAACATAAAAATATATCCTTACCTGTCTCATGCAGAATTCTGTTCTGATGTTGAGCTGTGGTCCCTTCATCCAGACGCTCTTCGAAAACCAGTCTCTTTCACAGACATCAGGTACTTTTTTTTTGTGTGTGTGTGTGTGTGATTTAGTATCACGTGAAAACTTGCTACATAATGTCATATTCAATGTGCAATATAAGGCTTAAAATGTTACAGTTAAGGGTATGAAAATTTCTTGAACTAGAGCTGCAGAGTTGGATGAAATAATCAATTTATTTTTTTTGGGCTTATATTAAAGATTGTGTGTGTGTGTGTGTGTGTGTGTGTGTGTGTGTGTGTAACATTTGGAAATAATTAAAACAAATATAGACTAAATCAAGACTAAACATATCTGTAAAAAATTTAAAAAACTGTGCTTTTTTTGTTGTTGAATCAAATGTAAGAACTCTGAACCAAAAATTTTATATGTCTCCATATAGTATGTTCATAGTAAATATCAGAGATAACAAAAGTACATGCATACTTAAGTACAAGTTCTCCTGTTAAAAATGTCAGGTAAAATTTGAAGTATTGATTATACTTTTGTAAAGTATAAAAAGTAAAAAAAAAAAAAAAAAGTAAAGAAGGATGGCCTCAAACATGTACACAAGTTAAAAGATTCTAATAACCTGTTTTAGTTTCATGCTTGTAAATATATTGCACATCATATATACATTTATACAAAAAAAAAAAAAAAACTTGCATTACATTTTTAAAATTTTTTACCTGATAATGCCTATTTTCAGCAGGAAAGTAGCCAAATACTAAAGCTCTGCAATCCCAATAGCACTTAAAATGTTGCTCCATTGTCTTGGCACAAACTCACAACCATCAGCTGCCAGTCATGTTCTTACACTCTTAAATTTAACACTTAATTTAGTCTGAAACATTTTTTTTCTTTTGCTTTAAATTTCACTATTTTTTTCTTCTTTTTTTTGCATTTACCCTCCTATTGACTTATGGGTCAAATAACGCCAACATTTTAACAGCAGAAAACAAATACCCTAAACCAGGGATCACTAAAGTTGCAGTCTGTTCTGTAATGTTACGCAGGGTCAGTTTTTTTTTTTTGCACATTATTTTGACAATACAAGGCTTTCCCAGTTTTTATGATGCACACAAAGATTCTCTTTTCTGGCTATGCTACATGCTTTTTAATATTAAGCTATTTTCTTTAAACCATAAATGTATATTTTCCTGCCATGGGTTTATTAATAAACAATCCCTCGCCTGAACTTGCCGCGAGAGAGATTGATTATTGAAAGCACATAATCAGCAAAGAAAAATCATATACTCGTACACAATCTTTAAAATAATTACATTTTTAAAAATTTCCAAATATATAAGTGAGATTTGTGATACAATTACACTAAAGCAATCCTTAAATCCTTTCCTCTGAGCAAAATAAATCATCCATCTGTATAGTAGAGTAGTGGAGATACAAACAAAAATGTAATTTGTATATTTTTCTTGGAAAAAATGTATTTTTGAAACTAATTTAGTTTGCTATATTTTTTTACTTAATTTTTATGATTCTTTGTTCAGTTATTAATAAACAAGAATAATGCATAACATTTGAGTTCATGCGCTTCCAAACAAGTCCGCTATAAACACTTTCCGCTATAAACACCTTAATATTTTAAAAGTTTGTTCAACCAATAATTGATCTTATCCAGCCGTGTCCCACCCATAAGCAAGCTGTAAATATGTATGCAGCCTATTTTTTGATTACCTGACCAGCGCATTAACAGCAGCACCCACTGATATAACCAAGAAATTATGAGCTCCAAATTTGCACAGTGTTGTCATCCACGTGACTGAACTCGTCGTGAAGATGGGGGAAAATTAAACATGCTAGACTTGCTGCGACGATGTCGTGAAGGGTCGCAGACATGGTATCGGTTGAACTATGCCACATTTCACGAGAAGAAACGATTGAATCTTGTCACGACGCCCATTTGTCGTTTCCGATTCCCTGCGACACCCTACGTCAAGAAAATCGTGCCTAAATCGTGTAATCTGAAAGGGGCTTAAGTCAAGAATACAGCATTTGTAACTATTTATTAATTGATACTAACAGTTATTAATGTAGAGTTCATGCTTAAAGTAAATTCATTAAACTCATGTTTAATAAATGATTCATGGTGTAGTGTTACCAAATATCCTGCTTCAACATTTATGAATACTGTCTTGCTAAAAAAGCTTCCACACTTATTCAGGTACATTTTAGCATTAAAAATGCACCCTTTACTGTAGTCAAAAAAAGAGTGTTGACCACTGAGTAAACACTGATGAAATGCTACACACTGATGAGGGAAAACATGAACATTCAGTTTGTGATGAAGATATGGTTGTTTCTTTGTGATTAAATAGATTTGAAGACTTAAATATAAATTTCCTGGTTTATTTTTCGAAGTTTAATGAAGCCAACCCAATTTTGACCCAAAGGACAAACAGTGAAGACAGAATTCTAGGCAACATAATCAAACAGCAGCAGATTTTAGCAGTTCCCTTGATTTAAGTGTTTGTTTTTTCAGAGTACTGTGGATATTTTACATTTATTATATCTATTCAATGCAAAAAGCAGCATACAATGGTGTAGGTTTCCCTTTAACAGTTACATCCTACTGTTTCTACTGTAGCATAAATGTGGCTAGAATAAAAGATGAAAAAATTATGTATTCCATTTTTTCCATGCCCTAAAAAATATTGGAATCAGAATACAGAACTGATAAGAACCCGTTTCGCTAAAATTAAGATGATACCCAATCCTGCACAGGTGCGATTACAACCTTTAAAACTTTTTAAATTATCTTTTTTACCGTGTGATAAATTCTTGATCCTTTGAATTATAATCGCATGCGTAAAAATACACGTACAGTAATTTCGATGTTCTAAAATATTTAAACTTTTAAAATCAACAGTGTATATATGTATAATGCTAAAACTGTAAGAGTGTAAATTTAGAAAGTGGGAATTAATCAGAAATCAAGGAAATAAATTATATTTTTTGTTCAGAAAATTGCACATTTATTTTGTAGTTTTAGATTAAAAGATCAGAGAAAGCATGTACAGTACATAGACAGTAGCTGAAAAAGGACAATTTCTCAAGCATTTAAAAGCCAGGTTTAACTGGTAATGTGCTTCATTTACCTATGATCTGATTGACCTAAATGGATCCGGTGTAATTGGCTTCAGTCATATTTCTGTCACCGTCTCCATCTTTCTTAGCCATCCTTGAATTTCTCATGCTAAACTTCATACATACAGTACGTGATCATAGGTTAGGAAAGCAGGCACGGCACGCATGTATGCTATACCAAAAAGATAAATTGATGAATCAGCAAGGGGTTTAAATTGGGTAATGACAAGTAACATGAATCATGTCACAAAACACATCAAGACAAAAGTAACAAACCTGTTTTACATGTGTAATGAGTAGAAAGTACAGGTATTTGTAAAAATGTAAAGCGTAAAAGTAAAAATTTGTCAAAATAATTAAGTACTGATACCTAACAAATCTACTTAAGTACAGTAACAAACTATTTGTATTTCATTTCTTTTTCTCATTTTTTAGTTGTGCCATTTTTTTGCGTCTATGCTTTAAAAGAGACAAAATGAAAATTGTAGCCTTTGTTTTCTATGCTTTTTGCAACATAATTTGCCCAGATAACTGCTGTAAATCTCAGCTTATGTCCATTGAGGTTTAAGGAATTTTGGATGGAGAGATTTCCATACTGAATCTCACTGTGTTTTTCAAGTTCTCTGATCTCGGCAGAAGTGAATTATAGACAATGGCCCCCTAGACATGGCCTTGCTACAGAAGCTCTGCTCATAACTATGATGCAGCCCAAATAAGTTTTGTAATACAGACTTTCATATCACAGTTTACACTTTAGGCCATGTACATTTTGTAAATTTGTTTATTAAAAATTATAATAATAATAATTATAATAATAATTAGTTTTACTGCAATCACCTTGGTTTATTAATTTGTTTTAATAATGTTTTTCATACAGACCCTTTACTGTATTAAGCTGCATAACCTGTTTAGATAAAAAAAAAAAAAAAAAAAAACTCAAATGTCAATCTTACAGATTTTGAATGTGGTTTTAGTACTTGGCTGCATTGAATATTTGCTTATGACTAGTAAACAATACAGTAAGTTTGTGTAGAAACTCTTATTACCAGAATGTATATTGTTACAGTCCGTCTATAATAATTTTTTTGTCTATTTATCAGGGTCCAGTGACTACTTTTGGGGGGTCTGCAAACTTCCAATGAGGACCATTGACCAATTGAAAAGGATTCACTCAAGGAGGGATTAAATGCCACCATCTCACCCCAATACCTTGGAAATGATGGGTCAATTATTGGGTGATGGCTTTTCCACCACCAAAACGCTTGTAAATAGTTGCCTAAAACACATGAATAGTTAATTGTTTTAGGCTGGAACCGTTTAATTTCTAATAATACATTTTAAAATATAATTGTATAAAATGCCATGTTGTTTTATGTATTGTAAATAAACAAGTCATTCAGCACCATTTCAGTAAGTAACTAATGTCAAGCAGTTGTGACTGTTGCGCATAATTATTGTGATGCTGTATAAAGTAATATCAAAGGTGACAACATACTTGCCACACAATTTTTATATCAATTGACATGACAAAAGTGCAGTTGAGGCATGACAATGTCAAAGTTGCATCAACAGCAGCTTGTAAATGGGATGATTTTGAATAAAAACTTTCTTGAAATTATTATAATTATTTTAATTGGTGTCAATGATCCCTTCGATGCAAATTCGAGTGACTATTTACCTCACAATCGCATAACATGTTGTATTTGGTTATGACAAATGGGGAAAGTCAAAATTTGTCAGCAACTTGTACAAACTGTTCTGCTTGATTTTGAATTATCTGCAGATTAATTTGGGCATGCATTCATGGCAGCTTGGTGTATGTTTCAATCATGGCTATCAGCTTTTACAACAGTACTGCAAAATAAATTCTCAACATCTGAAGTGGATCTTAAATGGAAGTTCTTTTCTACTTAACTTCATTTTAAAAAAAGTGTGTTAAGTCATGTTTATCAATTTGATTTATTTAGCACATCTGTACATACAATACAAACACCAAATACATCTGTGCACGGTCGTATATTATATGTGTTCACTGGCCAATGTTGTGGATAATTTTGTAAGACTTTTTTTCTCTCTTGTAAATAATAGTATTTTATTGTCTATCACAATGATCATTTAAAATAATCTTTTCATTTGCAACAATGTATAAACTGCTAAAGGTTAGTGAATTTTGTGAGGCAGTATAAATTGAATTTAGTTTGTATAGTGCATTTTCTTAAAAGGCTTTTTCCTTTTCATTATCAAGGTTTGTTTGTTAATTAATTTAGCAATTGTTGGTTTTGGCTTATTCACTTGAGGTTTAATTATTTTGAGCAAAATATGAAAAAGGGTTGTCTGTGTAGTACATCACTTTTTTAAATCCATGGCATGGGTCAAATTATTAAGCTTGTATATTGGACTTGAAATGGCAACTATATATATATATATATATATATATATATATATATATATATATATATATATATATATATATATGTATGTATCTATATGTATATGCTTTTAGCAAAATAACACTGTCGGCCAATAAAAAGCAGGTAAGAGTACTGCTGTTCTTTATTTATTTATTTTTTTGCATATACATTACTCAACCTATTGATAGATCATGAAATCTAACAAAAACAAAACTCTAAAAAAAAAAGATATAAGGCTGTGTGCATGATGGGTCCAAAATGTGTTCGTGTGTTTGGATGTGTGTGTGCTGTACTGTATTTTTATTTCTTATGAAAATAAATTAAATTATTAAAAAAAGTTTCAATAGTTATTAATTCTGTGAACATATACAGTTTTCATTATTCTAACTAAAGAAGCAGTGCATAAAATAAACTGGCAGTACTAGACAGTACTAAAACCGGCATAAAAAAAATAATCAAGCTTAAAATTTGAACGTCATGAATGCTAAATACATTATCAGTGACATTGCCTTAAACCCCATGCGTCGTGACATCTCTGACAGTAAACTAATTTGACACATCGACATTTCCTCATTCTAGTTCAAGCTGCTATGGTCGCGTCTGTTGTCAGCTTGCCTCGGTAATTTCAGGAGTCCAAGATTCGTCGTATAGACGGCGTATAGAGGTCAAGAAGACGGCTCCTTAACAAATGAAAACGTTCGATCGAATGCGATGTTTAGCAGATGTTACGATCTTTCAAAGACGTCTCCGCGACGTACGTGTGCTATCTGGGATGTTCTTCAGGCACACTAATAAATTGTCCTCCAGAATTGCTCCAGGGTCCTCAGGCAAAATGTGGTGCAGAGTAGTCAATCGCCGCAAGGTGGCGTTGAAGCAGTTGTGGAAAATACAGTGTAATACATGAATTTTTACAAATACAGTACATCGCTGTATATGTTGTTCGACGTCACACTAAATTCCCATAATGCAACGGTAAATACAGTTATTTACCGTAAAAGGAATTTGCAGTATTACACTGGGTGAAATACAGTAAATAACTGTGTAATTTACAGAAATGTCTAACAGTGTGTATTTAGTATGATAAAACAGTGCTTCTTCTCCAAGTGATGAAAAGCAGAAGAACAGGAAGTGGTGGATGTGGAATAATAAAAGCTCTGCTGTCTCTAATCTGCAATTGCTTCAGTGGTCTCGTTTTAGCTTTTTAGCCATTCTCTGATACATGCTATCATGATAATAAGATTTGAATACTTTAGTTCATTCATGATCAAGATTTCTGTATAAGAACCCGCAGGATTCAATGAAGACAACAACTTAGTCAATGTGTCATCAAGTCTTATTACAAGCCCTCTAGCTGTGAATATTAGATACTGTGCACTGTAAAAAAGTGCTGGGATCCACACGATCGATTTGTGTTGGGAAAACATGAAGAAATGAAGTTAACTTCTTAGGTTTTAAAAATTTAAGAGGATTAAACAAAAAACAGTTAAGTTGTCCTAAAAAAATGTGTTGTTTCAGCTTGGGATGACAGTCAACATTGTTTAATTGATCTCCAGCCATGGAAGGTATGAAGGAAAGTTGAAGAAGGGCATTTTGTGGTGTGCGGAAGAAAGAGAAGTTGGCTGAACTATTGCTGTGTGGTGAAACGAGTAGAGAAACCGGGTCGAGACTGGCAGAGTAAACTTAATGACTGGTTGTGAGAAACGAAAAGCGAAAGTACGTAACGAAGCAATGGAGCTAAGACCGCTGCTTTGTTGCTGAAGTGCTTGTGACGTCTGTGAATGAATGTGTCACCAAAGACTTCAGTGCAGTGTTTCCAGAATTAAACAAACTTACCGTTTTATCTCGCTGGCATGGAATCAGCTGCCGAAAGCCTTCATCCCGCAGTTGAAAGTGTCTAAGGTTCCTGCTAAGCACTCCACATTTGCTGTTCCCCTAACATTTGCCTTGACCTCTCTGTGGGCATTTTTTCCTTTCACTTTCATTTGAGTTATAAATTATAAACTACTTTAAATAAGTAGTTTGAACAAATAGCAAATGTAATTTTTTTCAGTTTGCCTTTAATAAACACTGATTCAATATAATTTAATTTGTAACACATTTCAATAAGGTTGTATTAGTTAGTGTTATTGCATTTACTAACATGAATGAACAATGAGGTGAGGCAGTGGCGCAGTAGTTAGTGCTGTCGCCTCACAGCAAGAAGGTCGCTGGTTCGAACCTCGGCTCACTTGGTGTTTCTGTTCAGAGTTTGCATGTTCTCCCTGCCTTTGCGTGGGTTTCCTCCAGGTGCTCCGGTTTCCCCCACAGTCAAAAGATCTGCGGTACAGGTGAATTGGGTAGGCTAAATTGTCCGTAGTGTATATGTGTGTGTGTGGATGTTTCCCAGAGATGGGTTGTGGCTGTAAGGGCATCCGTTGTGAAAAAAACTTGCTGGATAAGTTGGCGGTGTATTCTGCTGTGACGACCCCGGATTAATAAAGGGACTAAGCCGACAAGAAAATGAATGAACAATACATTCATTAAAGTATTTGTTTACTCAAATATTCAATGTTAGTTTGTTAACTCATGGTGCATTAATGTTAACAAGCATGACAATAAATGTCAATAATGCATTAGTAAATGTTGAACTATTATTAATAAATGCTGTATAAGCATTGTTCATAACTAGTTCATGTTAGTAAATACATTAACACTTTTTGTAAAGTGTGACAATTTAATTTTAAGCATATATTTACCAAAATGCATTGTGATATTGGATTTAAACAAGTAAAAGGCATTGGGGAATTAAAAAAATCAATAAAATAAATGTTTTAAATTGTAAGCGAGACAAAAAATATACATTTTTTGACACACAAGTAAGCTGAAAATCACTCACCTTACATTTAATATTTGCAGTTGTTGATTTCCAAAAGCTCATTCAAAAATTCGAGCTCTTCAAATTACATGCATGGCTCTTGACTTCAAAGCAACAGAGATACAGCTTTTATTTTCTAATTACCACTTTGGTTTGCAGTCAGAAAGATCCCAGACATTTAGATTTAACTACAATTCATATGCAGGTTGAGTGGTTTTTGCGAAGCATTCATATAGTCACAAGGTTGCGTCCGAGGTGAGGAAATTCATAAATGCCTTTCTCTTAATTATATCCTTTGACAGCTCCTTGCACCTTGCTGACATTGGGTTATTTAACTGCGAGCAATAATTAGTATATAGCCGTTGCAATCAAGACCTCTGCTGAGGTCTGCCAATGTGCAATTTGCTAAGAGAATTCATAAATTGATTCCCATGCCAAACGTATGATAGAGTGAGCTATCTTTAGTGAGGAAAATTAGTCAAGACTGATATCATCAGCATAATTTGCTGTTTAAAAATCACCGGCAAAACAAGCTACTCACAAGTTTATAACCTTATCGCATTTAGGCAATAGGCTGTGCAAACTGGTCAAGTGAAGTCACAATATAAGAGTGATTAAGACTAATGAGATTCTGAATAATATATTTCAGTGAAAAGAATTCTCGAAAGCAGCTATGATAAAAGGAAGGATAAACAACACACGCTAAAAGCACTTTATTTAAGACATGAGTGTGGTACACAGAGGCTGAATAGATATTGACTTGGAACAAACGTAGCTTGATTGAGCTAAGAAAGCGAAAATGAAACACCATGGCTCATGCTCAATTTGATCAAATCAAACCTGAAGACAGATCAAGCTTTTCGATGTGCAGACACATCCTGCTTGGCATAGGCTATAAATAGGGAAGGCTGGAACCAGTATGTGACAGACAGCATAGAATCAGTTCAAAATGTTTTCAAGTTGTTATATCTCGTAAACAGCTGTTAGGGTAAAGGTGATATTAAGCCTGTGGGGAAAATAACATCCATCAGTTGGAAAAAGGACTAGACTAGAAAACTAATGTGATGTTGCTAAAGTCTCCTTTGAACATATTAGCAGACAAGGCTTTAAAACTTGACATTGAAAATTGAAAAAGTGCTTCAGGTGTTTCTCAATGCTGATCCTCACACCCCACCGCTCTGCATTTTGTAAGTTTCTTATTTTACTTCAGACGTTTGTTCTAATTGGACAAGTGTCCTGCAAAGACAACACAATTTCACAGCAATTCGTAACTTTTTGATTTAGTGGCTAATTTGTTTGAATTTGTACAATTTAATACAGTTTGCTTATCCCGCAATGATGGTTGGGTTTAGGGGTGGTGTTGGGTGCACGTGGGTATAAGAATTTGACTGAATTCGTCTGAATTAGCCACTAAACTGACAAAACGTAAAATAGTAACATTTCCTCAGAAGATCAGGTTAGCAAAGACCAACTGACCAACCAACTTTTTAACTCTCAATTCGGACTTTTTGTCCATTGAATTCTAGAATCACTCATATCTACATATGAGTAGGAATGTGTATACTCACCTGCCACTTTATTAGGTTCAGCTGTTCAACTGCCCATTAACACAAATT